CTCAACATAAATTTGCACTCGCAGCAACAGGCCAGAGCAACAGCCACGCAGAGGCAGCCGCTGGGAGTCGGTAGCCGGATTTGACCTTGTGGATGGCAACAATGTTGAGTGGACGAGGCTCAACGCTGCCACAGAGCTGACCCAATTTTTCACCTGGCTCATGAGCAGCGCTAATAAATTGTGTGCGGCTCGCACTCGCACTCGTACTGGAGCTCGTGGCTGGTGGCTCGTGGTCGGTGGCAAAGGACCTGGCCATTAAATGGCCGACAGTCCGACAGTTTGGACTTTAATATTTTTACGTACTACATCAAAGTCGAAGGTTCGAGTGATTAAATGAAATTTACGAGTGCCCTATGCGTTACCCCCAGGGAAACATACACACAGACTGTATGCGAGAGAGAGAGAGGGAGGGAGAGAGAGACGCATAGACACTCACGCGCACGCAAAGCAAATTTTGCATAGGCAGTGTCAGAGATTGATGGGCCATGTTTTGTCTTGACGGCAACGCGGGAATTTAACAGCAGCAGCAACCAGAATAAGAAAAACAACAACAACAACAACAGCAGCAGCAACAGCAGCAGCAGCAGCAGCAGCCATAACAATAACAGGCTGATGTAATGAAGTGGCGTACGTGGCGAATGCGTGATATCCAAACATATACATTTACATGCACATATATAAAGATATGCACATACACAAGCACAGTGATACGCATGCGGCCAGGCCAATGATGGGATAATGGCTGGCACCAGCACCAGGACCAACTAGACCGGGCCATCATTGGCCCTGCACATATGCAATTAAACGCTTGGCTTGAGCCAATGGCGCACGAAGCTCGCAATTATCCAGGCAATTACAAAGTGTTCCGAAAATCAATTTCAATAATTTCATTGTACGATAATTGAAAAGCTCGCCAGCTCGGCCAACGCAACAAGAATGTACGTAATGCCTGGGCTTGCTAAAACTAAACTAAACTCAATGATCTCCTTCAATCTGGCTAACGCTTCGCATCCAATTAGCTGACGTGACGCTCGATGCACATGTATAAAATCCATTGCGATTTGTGCAGCGATATCGGTTGGGAGAACACGCCCGATGAGCTTGGACAATTATGCAAGCAATGTCAAGGCATTCGTATGGCTGGAAATAAATATGACGCGATGGTCCAAACAACAACTGACAGACCGAAGCGCTCGACCACCCGTCCGTCCGCCCGCCGTCCGTCCTCGAAGGGTAACAATCCAGTGCCGAGTGGCTGCCTGGGCGGGGCTGAGCTGGTGCTGATGTGCTCAACTAGCTGCTCCATATATGTATGTATGTATATATAGACGACCCTCATGTTTATGAGCTGCACTGGCGACGCGCTGACAGCTGACAGCACCACCCGCTCCACTGACCCCAAAGACTCGAAATGCTGTTGCTCTTTAATACCCTACCCGGCTGGCCACTTACAGTTGTTGGTAAGCAATTGTGATAGGGTTAAAGACTGCATCAGACTCTCTCATAACAGAGAGGGGGAGAGAGAGAGGGACAGCGAGAGACTGTTTGATCTGTGTTATCCAAGCTGAGCACGTCTAATTGGAATCTAATTGGAAATCCTAAATATCACATAGATTCAACAGAATTTAGTGTGTCTACAGAGCAAACACTAGCGTCTACATAAAACAGTCTTGGTTGAATTTTGTTTCTTTATTTCACTCTTTCTCTCCCTCTCCCTTTCTCTCGCCTTTCATATCCATGCAGCTGGCAATGTTGCAGGATGCGGGCATTGGGCGTGCGGCGTGTAGCGTGTGCCATGTGGCTGTATCATATATGTATGAGGTATGGGCATTAGTAGGTGGGTTTTTATGAGCCAGCAGACATTTTATTGCATGTGCGCTGGGCAGCGCACTGTCTGAGGTTATTAAAGTTTCAGGATTGGTGTCAAGTCTCATTGCCTGCGGCTGCTGCTGATGATGGTGACGACGTAAGCAGCTGCCTGTGCGTGTGTGTGCTTGCGTGTCGGCGTGTGTATTAGTGCATGTGAATGCTTTATTTTATTGCTGAAAAGTGCAATCATAAAACGTTCAAGGCCCCCATGCAATGCAGCGATAAGCAGCAACCGCGCAGCGACAGAGCAGCGCGACGCACAGTAAAGGGGTGTCAGTCCTTGACGTTGGTGGAAACGAAACGATGTGCATTAGGGCTGGCACTTATGTGGCATGCTTTTCGGCGCATTGGCCCCCGTACGGCACTCAAATGGAATACCGAATATATTGACATCATTGGCCGTTGCTGCCTGCTCGGTCGCTCGGTTGACATATTTTTGCCGGCCGCAGAATCAACAAAATAAACACATAACAACAATTTGAGCCGCCAATCGACCAACTAAAAGCCCATAAAAGCTTATTGAAACAAATCAAAAATGACGGCAGCGGCAAAGCACAAAGACGCAGCGCAGTAGCCGAAAATGCGAAATAAGAGCAGCCCAAATAGATAAATTTTACACTCGAAAATGAATGGCGCTCGGGGTGGCAGCCCTAATAAAGCTGTACACCATCAAATCCAAGTAATGGACAGAAAAAAACGACCAGAACAAGAATAAGAGAGTAAGTAACAGAGAGAGAGAAGGAAAGAGAAAGTGCGAGCGAGATGGCAGCGTCGTATAATCCATGATAGCCATAAAAGATGCTGATTGCGTTCAGGTCACACTGCGGATGCTCTTGGAAATATACATTTATTTTTGCATGAGTGGAGAATATATTAGAGAAATTGTCAGAGGTTTCAAGTTTTTATAATATATACTAAGATTTCAATATTTAAATTTGAATTTACTTTAATTAATATTAGTAATAAAGACAATCCAGTAAACAGAAATTAAAAAAAAAAGCTGCTTAGACAAAAGCTTCTTAGAGCTTTCTTTATACATTGTTAGCAAAGCACCTTATATATCTCAATAAATTCTGGATATTCGGTAATTATATCTAGTATAAAAAATCCTGTGAAATATTTTGCTTAAGCCACAGGAATTCCAATTAATAGTTAATTAATAACTCTAAAACTAAACACTAAACTAATCAAACTCTGCCTTCTCTCAGATGGTGCACCAGCAAAAGGTTCAACTTGTCTAGGGATAGATCAAACTTACAAATTCATATCTCTCTCTTGCGTCAAGAAAATTCACATCTCTTTCGGCTGATACTACATAAATAGCATGAGTTTTTGCCACCACGCGATATGCAATGCTGTAAAATGAATTGGATTCAATTTTTCTCTCTTATGATATTTGCAATTTTCAGCTGAAGTCTGGCAAGTCGCTCAACTCTTTGGCACAAAATTGTAGCAAGGGCAGCAAAACAAATGGCCCAAGTAACCCAAGCCCAAAAAGCAAGTTACGCAAAACATCATCAGCAGCGGCAGCGGCAGCGACGGCACCAACAAAAGCTATAGCAATAATAAGAGCAGAGTCCAATCATCTGGGCCAACAAACCAGACAGACAACCAGAGAACCTGACAACCAGACAACCAACAGACAAACGACACGACGGCCATTTGCATTGGCTGCCATTGTTCAGAGTGGATAAAGAAAACTGTGCACAGTGGTTGCGCCCATAGGCCAAAAGTCAAAAAACCCATCGCAACCAATTT